GCGCGCACGGAAGAGGGGAGGGGGGGTGAAGATGAAGGAAAGAATACGCATGGCCGCATGTGCGGAGACATCCCAGAACATACACAAGAGTAGCAGTGATGTTGTCGGTGGGAAGAAGCCCGGAGTAGCAGCACCGGTTGGCCAGGAGTCGTTGAGAATACTCACCAGTGGCTCACTCACTTGGGCGCCAAAAACTGTTCTGTAATGCTCTGCCGCTTCGCTCAGATCAGGCACTGCGATAGCGATGTGATTCAACCCCTTTACTGCAAAGGGGAACATATCGGGCGGGTTCCTTACGGCAAGTCCACCCGATCGCCCTCCACTTCCAGCTCCCACACTTGTATACTGTTGGGTGCAAAGATACAGTCCACCGACGCGTTAAAAACATAGCCTTCGAAAGCGACCAAAGTTACAGACAACACCTCCTTCTTGACAGCGACCAAAGTCACAGTCAACGCCTCTCAAAGCGACCTTAGTTAAAGACAATACCTTTAAGCGACCTAAGTTACGGACAACACCAAACACAGAGATGCAAAAGTATGAGGGGGCAATCACACCACAACTTTATCCACTGAGCTCCGGACGTTATTGCGCTCAGATACATCCAGCTACGGCTGTGGCTACGGTCAGATACAACCAGAAAATGGCCAGTGTGAGTGTGCCTCGGACGAAGAATGCGATTGTCACTCTCAGAACAGAAATCTAAATCCCCCCCGGGGCTAGGTCCCACTTACACGAATTAAGAGATATTGACCGTAGATAGCACAGATCAACGGTCAGAATCTCGTAATCCGTGCAAGTGGGACCTTGCCCCGGGTCAGAGCGCACCTGCACGTCCTTAAATCCTGATGTGGATCATGCCCAGGCCGTCCGCTCGCCCATGTACAATTCAAGAGTGGCAGTGGGTGATAATGGCGCCGCTCCTCGGATTTTCAATTTAATCAATCAAAGCACAGCACACATCTCAGCCCGCCAGCTTCCATGCACGTCACATCATCATTGCCGTTCCCTGCCATCATTTTCCTCCAAGAGTGGGTCTTCTTCCCTGCCATTAATGAACCTTGGAGCTCCAACCTGTGTACTACTGATGACCTAACCTGGTCAGAATCCTGGTCAGAATCCATGAATGGCAAGGAAGAGAGCCCACAAGTTGCGGACAGTGTCACCAGGTAAAACTGCCAGGTCGTGGGAGCTCGTGCACAAAAAAACGCCAACCACAACTGACCTTTGGTAAGCAGCAGACAAGCCCGTGGGCTAATCTGTCCGCCTCATTTTATCGCTCAGAGGGGATATATTCGGCAAAAACATTGGCTGAAAAAAAAAAAAGAAAAAAAAAAAGAGAAAAACATTGGCTGGTCCTCGCAACCGGGTTTCTGCTCTAAACCCACTAATCAGGGAGATGGTTCCACATACAGCAGCAGGGCTCTGACAGCTTGCCCGACCCCCCCAGGCTCTCTTTCATTCCCCCCCCCCAACCAGCACACGTCCCCAGCCGTGCAAGAGCCGGCTGCCAAATTATTGAGGCTAGAGTAAGGCCCGGTATAGTGCAACGAGGGAGTGTGCTTGTGCTTGTGGCCCACCGAGGCCCACCGAAAAGGGCAGATAAAACCAACGAGCCGAGGTAGCTCAGTTGGTACAGAATTAAAAATCCTTCTGAATAAAAATACAGTTGAAATACTACGAGATATGTGAGTGTGCTTGTGCTTGTGCTACGAACTGTTGAAATACAGACCCCAGTTTTTTTTTGTTTTTTTTTTTTTAGACCCCAGTTCGAATCCAGTCAAGGCATCAGATGGGCAGAATAAAAATCCTTCTGAATTACCTGGGCCGGCCAGTTCGACGATGGTATATCTCATGGCCGCGCATTTGGAAACACAAACACATGCATGGACGAGAGACTGCATATGTACCCCATTTAAAGATGGGAATATCCGCTATACCCAGAGTCCCAGACCCTCTCCAACTTATGGTAATACCCTACTTTTCCCATGCGCCAACTATTACAAGTACCCAGTTCCACAGGCCCTTGGTTGGGGCGCACCAGGCATGAGCATAATTAAGCATTCCGGTAGTTGGGTATAACTGCAATTTGGCGGTCCCAACATTGGGCAACCTCCGTCCTGGGCATGCAAATAATTTGCACAGACCATTTCCCGGGTACAGATGCACGTTGAGCAGCGGGACTGGGTATAGCGGGTATTCCCATCTTTAAGGGTACAGATGCAATTTTCCCAAAACACAAAACAAAAGAACGGTGGGATACTCTCTCTCTCTCTCTCTCTCTCTCTCTCTC